GCAATGTGGGTCGGCCTTGGCGCGAGAACATGGGGGTCATTCTGTTCTTTGTCTTGCTGGCCGTCATTATAGTGGCGTACATTGTAGGAGCCGTCATCATTGTGTATCGTAAGTGTACATCGTGATATGATTATAGTGCATATTTTTACATATCGGTTAAACGTATGTCGATAAAATCAACTTCTAATGCAAAGGGTGTCGAACTCAATCTCTCGGCGGGCCAAAACTCAGCTCACATGTAGCGTTGTTGGCGGAACAGGATAAACATTCAATTTGCCGAAAATTTATTGACCAAAAAAAAATTACAAACATGAAAACAGAAAAAAGTTTTATTAATTAAAAATCATTGGCATAACCCATTTTCGTTGTTATGCAATTTTGTCAGAGCTGGATGTTGGGTACATTTTCTTGGCTGCAAAAACAAGTCAGTTTGTTTATGTTGAAAGTAACGTTCTGTGTCACTGAGATTCTCAAGATGGAAAGCAAGTGTTTATCAGTGAGACGACGCCTCAGTAATGTTCAAATTTTCATCACAGAAAACAGCTGCTCACACATATATGTGCTACAAAACATGCTCAAGGTTCTAGCCGCATGTAGACAAGCGGCGCATCTCTTTAATAATGAAACAAGGGAACTGTGCTGGCCCCAATGTGTCGTACTTTGCCTTTAGTGTCCCACTACACTGCAGCTCTATTAGCTCCATCTGCAAATTTACAGGTGCAGTTTCCAAGTATTTGAGAAATTGGTTACGAAACAACTCGAAAATATATTTCTGTGCTTCAAAGTCACTAAAGCGTGGTGCGAACTCGACGCAAAATAAGCTAAGTTTTCAGCAAAGTGTGCATTGGGATACACCATTGTGTTGACTTGGATATAAATGTACGTCGGTCAAGACGTCGTGGGCCTGATAATATTGTATGGTGGGCCGGATGTGGCCCGCTGGCCATGATTTTTACACATGTATTCTATAGGAAAGCTATGATCAGTTATTAACTTTATTGCATTGGCAACTTATAAACATATATATATATATATATATATATATATAAATATATATATATATATATATATATATATATATATATATATANATATATATATATATATATAAAAATATATATATATATATATATATATATATATTTATATATATATGTATATATATATTTATGTATATATGTGTAAATTTTTATTTGTGTGTGTCTGTGTCAGTATTTTAAATATAAAGCGACCTTCACATATTAAAATAAATTAGACAACTATTTAGAAAGGAAAATTTAGCTTAAATTCAATTAAATTGGTCAGATGCAGAAATGTATTGCATAGCGAGGCTATCCTTACATTGAGACTCTTAGAGCAAAGTCTACTAAATGACTTAAAAGCAGCCGCGTCAATAAAGTCTATTTTCATGGTCGGGGGGGGGGGCAAATCAAAACTTTTTGGCGTATTAAATTGTTTTTACTGGAGGTCCCACAGTACATTGCAATTTAATTAAATCCAGCGAATTCAAGGGTTGAGGGGGGGGGGGCAAGTGCCACACCCTGCCCTACCCAAACAATGTCCCTGTTTAAAAGGCGCTTGAAATTAAATACATGCATTAGGTAATATTATTTTTGAAAATGTTAAGTGATCCCTTCTTGGGTGTTATTGTCAATCTGCCTCTTTAAGTTTGATACGTAACATGGCAAAAAACAGAGATTCAATGTGTAAAATGTGTCTTTCTGACAGGAGAAAAACAGTTGCGCTTGCAGCAAAAAGGAAAGGGGACACTACGAAATATCTTTAAAAAATAAGCGTTTGAATAAGGTGAAACTTGCGTCTTGGGCGATCATGGGATTTCAACGAGAGGAAACTCTTGGGATCTTCAACGACAGGAAACTCTTGGGATCTTCAACGAGAGGGAACTCTTGGGATCTTCAACAAGAGGGAATTCTCGTCACGTAATTTAGATTGAAAGCTTGCGTAACACAAAGGGGAAAGTAGATAAGAGTCTACGAAATTATTACTATGAATAAAAATAATATTAGTATAAAACAGCAAGCGAGTGAGTGGGGCGAGGTGAAAGACCTGAAGTTAAACATTCCGAACAGAAGAAGACAAGACTTCCAATATGCTACAGTTTACAGACAACACTTTCTATATGATGTGGTTACAGACAAGACTTCCAGTATGCTTCAGTTACAGACAAGACTTCCAATATGCTATAGTTTACAGACAACACTTTCTATATGATGTGGTTACAGACAAGACTTCCAGTATGCTTCAGTTACAGACAAGACTTCCAATATGCTACAGTTTACAGACAACACTTTCTATATGATGTGGTTACAGACGAGACTTCCAGTATGCTTCAGTTACAGACAAGACTTCCAATATGCTACAGTTTACAGACAACACTTTCTATATGATGTGGTTACAGACAAGACTTCCAGTAAAAGTTCCAGACAAAGACTTCCAATATGCTACAGTTACAGAAAAGACTTTCAATATGATACAGTTACGGACAAGACTTCCAATATGACACAGTATAAGACAAGACTTTATAAATGACATAGTCAAACACCAGACTTCCAAAATAATAAAGTAAAGGACAGGATTTCTCCTAAAATAATAGAGTTAAAGACAAGACTTCCAAAATGGCACAGTAAAAAATAAGACATCCAAGTAGATACAGCTAAAGACATGACTTTCAATTTGATATATTGCAATGGTAGTTTTAATTGAATACATTTCATAGAAAGAATTTATTATATATATATATATATATATATATATATATATATATATATATATATATATATATATATATATATA